CGCAGCATCTAACCACTGCTTGCAAGTACCTCGGGAGCGGTCATGGATTAATGTACGGAGCATTTTTTTGTTCTGAAAGCCTCGTGAAAAGCTAAACGATCAAAGGTTCCTGTAGTAGACTCCCACGCGAAAAAGGCGCCCACGTCAAAAGCGGCTAAGACCGATCGTCTTTCACCTCTAGTAAACGGCAGGCTAACTATTGCCGGCAGGGCAGCCGAAAAATAAATTGACGCTCAAGTAATTGTTATAAATATTATTGCATAATTTATGAGCGGTGGCTTAGACCGTACCATTATTTATGATACCAGATTACTATTCCACACTCATAATTTATGATACTATCTCACGAACGGTGCGGAAGACGGCGGCGAGGATCCAGAGGGCTCGTTTGTCCAGCGTCTCGAGAAGCGTCGCCGGCTCGAGGCGCGAACGCCCCGCTACGACCTCATCTCCAGCATCCCGCCGACCTCGAACAAGGTCGAGCGGTTTTCAGCGTGGCGCGTACCACGTTTGCTCAAGAGCGCAACAGTCTCCAGTCCGCTACGCTGGAAACAATTTTGTTTCTGCGTGAGAATGGTGACTTCTGGGACGTTTCGACAGTCGATAGCGTCAATTAGTGTGAGTAACAGTACGTCTAATACCCCGTTGAAGTTGCACCACATTATTTATTTATTGCTCGAATACATTACATAATTTATGCAGATACAAATGACAAGATCCTGGCATTATTTATGAGGCTCTATCTGCGCTAATAAATGACAATACCATATTCGGCAGTCCTGCTCGCGGTACATGTGGATTTTTGCGTTATCTAGGATAACAATGGACCTGAAAAACAAAATGAAAACTATAGCGAGTCACAGCATCTAACCACTGCTTGCAAGTACCTCGGGAGCGGCCATGGATTAATGTACGGAGCATTTTTTTGTTCTGAAAGCCTCGTGAAAAGCTAAACGATCAAAGGTTCCTGTAGTAGACTCCCACGCGAAAAAGGCGCCCACGTCAAAAGCGGCTAAGACCGATCGTCTTTCACCTCTAGTAAACGGCAGGCTAACTATTGCCGGCAGGGCAGCCGAAAAATAAATTGACGCTCAAGTAATTGTTATAAATATTATTGCATAATTTATGAGCGGTGGCTTAGACCGTACCATTATTTATGATACCAGATTACTATTCCACACTCATAATTTATGATACTATCTCACGAACGGTGCGGAAGACGGCGGCGAGGATCCAGAGGGCTCGTTTGTCCAGCGTCTCGAGAAGCGTCGCCGGCTCGAGGCGCGAACGCCCCGCTACGACCTCATCTCCAGCATCCCGCCGACCTCGAACAAGGTCGAGCGGTTTTCAGCGTGGCGCGTACCACGTTTGCTCAACTTCTGGGACGTTTCGACAGTCGATAGCGTCAATTAGTGTGAGTAACAGTACGTCTAATACCCGTTGAAGTTGCACCACATTATTTATTTATTGCTCGAATACATTACATAATTTATGCAGATACAAATGACAAGATCCTGGCATTATTTATGAGGCTCTATCTGCGCTAATAAATGACAATACCATATTCAGCAGCCCTGCTCGCGGTACATGTGGATTTTTGCGTTATCTAGGATAACAATGGACCTGAAAAACAAAATGAAAACTATAGCGAGTCGCAGCATCTAACCACTGCTTGCAAGTACCTCGGGAGCGGCCATGGATTAATGTACGGAGCATTTTTTTGTTCTGAAAGCCTCGTGAAAAGCTAAACGATCAAAGGTTCCTGTAGTAGACTCCCACGCGAAAAAGGCGCCCACGTCAAAAGCGGCTAAGACCGATCGTCTTTCACCTCTAGTAAACGGCAGGCTAACTATTGCCGGCAGGGCAGCCGAAAAATAAATTGACGCTCAAGTAATTGTTATAAATATTATTGCATAATTTATGAGCGGTGGCTTAGACCGTACCATTATTTATGATACCAGATTACTATTCCACACTCATAATTTATGATACTATCTCACGAACGGTGCGGAAGACGGCGGCGAGGATCCAGAGGGCTCGTTTTTCCAGCGTCTCGAGAAGCGTCGCCGGCTCGAGGCGCGAACGCCCCGCTACGACCTCATCTCCAGCATCCCGCCGACCTCGAACAAGGTCGAGCGGTTTTCAGCGTGACGCGTACCACGTTTGCTCAAGAGCGCAACAGTCTCCAGTCCGCTACGCTGGAAACAATTTTGTTTCTGCGTGA